CGAGAAAGAGGTCGACTTTGGCGCACCGGGCGGTGCATACGACCCCTACCCCACCCTAAAGCCGGACCTTAGAAACGCAGACCAAACACAATCACGTAATGACACACCCGTCGGAAATGCTGCAACGGAGGCGCCGCCACCCCCACCGCCACTGGACCCGAAACCTGCAACCCATACCGGCAGTGCTGTACCCATGCATATATCGGTGGCGATGACAGTGATGTCTATACTGACTGTCCTTTTGGTTTAAATTATTTCAATTTCAGAAGAATTTATTTTCAAAATGTTTTCAATTTGTTTTTAACTTTCATTTCTGTATTTATTTCCAAATTATATTACATTTCACATAAAATACTCAAATATTTGCATAATAAAAAATCAATTCTTAAAGTTGTATTGTATCCAGACTGTTTCCCAGCGTCTGTTTTTCCGTTATAACTTCATTATAACAGTAAATTATATTAAAACTTTTAATTCAAGTTTATTTAAAATCTCTGCTTTTTATACTGAATTTGAATGAAAATAATGATGAAAAGCGACAGAAATAGAGATTCAATTAAATTCAATGTAAAAGTTTTACACAAGAATCTGATGGCAACACAACTATTGCCACAATTCACGCGATTTTAACATTTATTATGATTTAATGTTTGAGTTTGAATTGAATGCAAATAACGTTGTCTTTCATTCAATTCAAAGATTATCTGAAGTTTGAGGCGATTATCAGAGTATAGCTGAAGACATGAGTGATCTGGACATTTCTATTATAGTGTTGGTAGTAATGGTCGTAATATTGGTGTTGATTATAATTGCTTACGCGGTCTACACAATCAAATTCAATAATAAATCCAACCCCAAAAAGCGAGTGACTACCGGTGCAAAGGCGATGTCAGTCCCCAAACCGGGAACTCTGACCATCGGATCGTCTGACCAAAACACAGTTATACGACAGGGCACTGAGGAGTTCATACCCGGCCCGGGAGACAAAATCCCCAGTACTATACCAGACCCCATCTAACCCTTTACTCGCTTCTGAAAGTCACACAAAAATTGCTTTTTATATAAATATGTTTTTATTTTATCGTAAAAAATCTCTTAATTTAAAAAATATGTCAACTCCTAAATAGAAATTAAATTAATATGAATTCAACTCTTAAAGTATTGTAAATAAAGCATATTTTTATTGCAAATTAAAAAACATAATTTATTTCACAAAATAAACAAAAAATAGTTTGTAAATTGTAATTCAATGGCTGATTGTAAAAATAAGAAATATAGTAAAATATAGAGAAAATAAGAATAAATTATTAGAAATAAAGTCTTGTTATAAATAGATTGTAATCTTGTAAACGTTTCATTGTATCAGGGTAACTTTTATCACAATTCGTCTCGAATTATATTCTGTAAAAGTATAAAATATTAATTAAAATACAAATAATATCAACAAAAAGACTTACTTCTTGTGAACTATCGGATAAGAAATTCTCAACAAAAGGCACGATATCTTTGGCACCGAAGCCCTCAACGGGTATGCCTTTTGCCGATTTCGCGGATTTGTCGTATAATTTAAGTGTCGGGTAAGCATTTACAGCCGCTTCTCTACACAAGTGTCCCAATGTCTGACAGTTTACTTTACCTGTCTTTACCTTCCCTTTTAGTTTCTAGAATTCAATTCAATTCACAATTTGTCACAATTTATCAATCAATGAGTTATAAGATCGCAAAAATATTCCAAACCTTTGAAATGACTTCAAATTCTGGTGCAAAATAGGTGCAGTGAGAGCACCAGGGGGTGTAGAAGTCTATGAGCCATACAGTCTTAGATTTAATCAACTTCTTGAACATATCG